CTCCCAGTGCCCCTATTATTTACATCCTGCACTAGTGTGGTATGTTTGTTATAACTGATGAGCCATTGTCATCAGTACATTATTAAGTAAAGCCTGTATTTCACATTAGTGTTCATCCTTTGTTTTGTACAATTTTACGGGTTTTAACAAACACGTGGTGTCCTATATGTACCATCACAGTATCACACGCAGTAGTTTCACCACCCTAACAATCCCCTGTTCCATCTGTGCATCCTTTCTCCTTCCCCAGCCCCCTCTGAGGGCCTGGCTGCCACTGATCTTTTTATCCTTGGTTAGCTTTGCCTGTTCCAGAATGTCATGTAGTTGGAATCATACAGTATAGAGCCTTTTTAAATTGGCTTCTTTCACTTAACAATATGTAATAACTTTCTTCCATGTCTTCTTGTGGTTTGATAGCTTACTTACTATCACTGACTAATATTCCATTGTATGGATATATCAGTTTGTTCGTCCATTTACCTATTGATGGACATCTTAACCGTGTTCAGTTTTAGATGATTATAAATAAAGCTGCCATAAACATTCATGTGCAAGTTTTTGTGTGCACAATTTTTCAATTCATTTGGGTAAATACCAAGAAGTGCAATTGCTGGATTGTATGGTTAGCCTACGGTTGCTTTCTAAGAAACTGCAAACTGCTCTCCAAAGCACTGCACCACTTTGCGTTCCCCTCACAGTGAGGGAGGGTTCCTGCTTCTCCACATTCCTGCCAACCTTCGGTGTCAGTGCTGTGAACTGTGGTCGGCCACTCTAATCGACGTGTAGTGAGTGGTATCTTGTTTTAATTTGCATTCCCTAATGATGAATGATGTTATGCTTATCTGCCATCTGTGTATCTTTATAATTTTGTGAGTTAATGCTTTCCCATTGCCATAACAATTCTACTTCTAAGAATTTATCCCAACGAAAATCCCCAAATTGCACACATTTATAAGAAGGTTGTTTACTCTCTTGTTGCTTTTAACAGTAAAAAATAGGAAAGAGCCTAAATATGAGATTGGTTAAATAAGTTTGGGTACATCTACATAACAGAAACTATGTAGCTACTAGTAACAATGTTGTAGGAAAAGGGTCAGCAAACAATGGGAGCGCAAGAGCCAACCCAGTCGCTACACGTACCACACGAGCCACGAACGGTTACACATTTTTAAAAGTTGAAAAAATAAAAACAAGAGTAATATTTTGGGATGTGAAAAATCACATGAAATTTGAATTCCAGTGTTTGTAAAGGTTTCATTGGAACACAGCCACACCCACTTGTTGACGTATTTCTGTGGCTCTTTCACGGTAAACAGCAGGGCTGAGTCACTGAGGTCGCAGCCTCAAAGCCTGAAACAGTTACCATCTGGTCCCTCTCAGGAAAAGCTGGTCAGTCCCTGTTTTAGAAGAAATTCAGTAACAGAAGTATCAGTAATACCAAAGAGAATATAGGATATGATCCTATTTCTGATGTTGAAATGAAAAAAAGGAATGTAAATAAATACACCAGAACTATTTTCCCTGAGCATTACTATGATGGTCAATGTTTTTTCATTTAAGATTTTATGACTCGTTTTCCAATGTACATATATTGCTTATATAATCCATACAAATTTTTGAAAAAACATACCATTGAGAACATTTTAAATTTGCAATTTTAAGATGACTATTTGGGCCCTGGCCAGGTAGCTCAGATGCCAGGATAGAGCATTGTCCCAATACACCAAGGTTGCGGGTTCGATCCCGGGTCAGGGCACATACAACAAGAAACCAATGAATGTATAAATAAGTGGAACAACAAATCAATGTTTCTCTCTCCCTTTCTCTCTCTAAAAATCAATCAATCATCTTTTTTAAAAAAAGATGGATATTTGGGAGTGAAATCTCAGAATGAGAAAGAGTCAGAGTAATAGTCGAATTACCTGACAGCTGACTTACGAAGGGCACTGACGAATCAGAACCCACATCAGCAGGAACATCCAGGACAACTGCACAGACACGGCAGAACCGGCACTAGCAATGAACACTCAGCGCAACAGTGCCAACCAACCAGAGCAGACGCTGGGCACAGACCCCCGTGCGGCTGTGCTAGTGCACCGCAGCCCAAGCCGGCCTTGGGGGGACGGCAGGAAGGTCCTGGCTCCACTGGTCTCCTTAATAATTTGATCTTTACCATCCAATCCTCTAGAAGGGCTTATCTACCTTTGTCAATCTATGTCTTTTAACTGAAATGTTCAGTTCATCTACATTTTTTACTAGGCATGTACACGAATGGTATACTGACTGCGAACACTGAAGTCCTGTGGCCACGTCCTCCACGGCGAAGCTACACTCGCGTGCGTACACACAGACACACACAGGCTTCGGCTGCCCCACTGTCCCCACCAGAATGGACTGGAGGCCATCACAATTTCTGTGTCCCACTATTTTCTAATACTGAGTCTAGGGCAGGTGAATAGATTAACCAAACCTAAATCATGTCTGATCCCAACCTTCCCAGAGAGTCCAGAAAATCAACCAGCTGTCATTTTCAGCTTCTATTTTGGGAGATGACAAAAATAAATTAAACTTTAAAATATTAAAGATCTACAAGGTAGATGGTAAATACCACCATATATATCGTGCTTAAGCAGCTTTAAAATAAATTCTACTTAAATAAAATTCGCCCACAAGGCAACTTCCAAAGAAATGATGATGGCAATTAGCATTTTGTTTTGTTTTTAGCCTGAGGTACGTGACCCTGCACCTCCCAGGAAGTTATCACAGGAAACTTTGGATATTCCCACAGCGCCTCTCAATGCTGGCACTTAACCTGCCCTCCCTCCACCATCCCCTGTGGCTGAGCAGAAATCAACTGCTGCTGATCTACTACTTTTAGGCTCACATATTGCCCAACATATGGGAGATGTTCCAGAGAATGCTTGTGGTGAGAGAATATACGGAGTGCCTGATTCAGCCTCACCATTACACTGCAGAAGCACAGAGAGAACCATCTGTGCCCTTTGTGTACCTATCTGCTGTGGGGTTTTTGCTTACACTTTGATATAGATGAAGAAATTGGGACTGAGAGTTCTGTGATTTATGTAAGAGTCAATATTTTAAATCAAAACTGGCACCCCAATCCTATTATAAAAAAAGGGGTGACACCATAGGCCCTGCCTAGCTTTTAACATCCTATTATAATTTCCTTTGTGAGTTGAGCTTGAGGAAATGAGCCATCAAAGGGGTAAAGGCCTCAGGAAATTCAAAACACAGCACAACCTCACAGTATCTACAAAGATTCCCCATGTAATTTAGCTCCTAATTTATAATGTTCTGGTTATTATGGATCATAACAAAATACCCCCAAACTTAGTAATTTTTTAGTTATTATGTTCTTAGATTCCCTGGTTCAGGAATTTGGACAAGGCACTGAAGGGACTGCTTGGCTCTGCTCCACGCTGTCAAGACTCAGCTGGAAGCCTTGAAGGCTGGAGGCTGGAATCCCCTGAAGGCTCCTTTACTCACATGTCTGGGGGGTGAGGGTGGTTATTGGCTGAAGACCTCATTTCGTCTCTTCCGGACCTCTATGTGTCATCTCTCCATACGTGCTAGTTTGGGCTTCTTCAGTGGGGTGGCCAGGTTCCAGGGGCAGGCATCCCAAGAAGAACCAAGCAGAAGCTGTCTCCTTTCTATGAGCGAGGCTCAGATGTCACATACCATTACATTTGTGACACCCTATTTTGTATGTACGTACATATTATATACATAGATGTATATGTATTAGCTATTGCCTTATAACAAATTACCCCCAAACTTAGTAGCTCAAAACCAAAATATACTTATCTCATAGTTTCTTAGGGTCAGGAATCTGCGAGCTGCATTGTTCTGAGCCAAGGCCTCTCTGAGGTTACAGCCCAGCTAATGGCTGGGGCTATAGTCATCTTGATGCTACTGTAATTCACTAGTTATTAATAATAGGAAAAGAGCAAAGGGAAGGCCAAATATTACAGGCATGTCATCTGGGCAGTTTCACCAGGAAGCTACAGCTTTACACTCCTCAGGGGTCCAACGAAGGGGAGATAGGTGCATGCCTGGTAAAGCTGGGGTGGCATAGGAAGGTCCCTGCTGGGTTATACCTGGGAACAAAGGTCACTGACCAGAATTGGTGTGGCCACTGCAAGGGCACAAAATTTGGGATATTTAATCCCCTGAACAAAGTTCACTCTCTTGTGCTCTTACTGCTCTTGGGACTTGGGTGACACTGGGTTTGCGGAGCTCCCCTGCATTCACCCACAGGGCGCACGGACCCCCTGATGCTGGACTGGACCCAGCTGCCACGTGGAAAGGCAACTCTGGACACTGGCTCTGATTTTAGCTCTGCTAAAACCTCAGCTACACTTCTACGACTGGACTAAGGGAAATGGGACTTTGGAAACCCCGGGATGTAATTCCACACAAATAAAAATCACTCATCCTCCTGTGCGAGTCTCAAATTCTTTCTCTCAAGATATGGTAAGGCCTCCACCCCCAAGACCCAGTGGGGAAAGGACCCCCATTTCCTCCAATATCAATCTGAAGGCTACATAGGGCTGGAGGTTCCATCTTCAGGTTTATTCACAGGAGTGTCAGCAGCAGGCCTTCATTCCTGAGCATGAGGCCTCTCCAAGGGCTCCTCTGATGGCAGCTGGCTTCCCCAAAGCAGGTGATCAGAGAGAAAGTGCGAACAAGACGGAAGGCCCTAGTCCTGAGGCGGAGCAACAGCACCTCTCCCGGGTGCTGCTGGTCACACAGACCAGCCCTGAGCTGTGCAGGGCGGGGGAAGCACACGAGGGGGTGATACCAGAAGGTGGGACCCCTGGGCCTCTTTGAGAAACACAATCTGCCGCACACGTGTGGTTACACACACCTCCCTTCTCCTTACCTTTCTGTTAAGTCAAAGTCTGTATTTTGTTTGTCTCCATCCTCATGTCCCAGCTTCTTGCATGGAGCCGGTTCTCAGTAAGCACTTGTCAAATGGGTATTGAGACACACGGTTTCTAACATCTGCCTCTTTCCTGCACATAGAGTACTTCTCAGCCCCTTGTGACCGCTTCGGGACAATTAAATGTGTGTCGACATGTCACCGTCAAGCAGAGGGAACAAGAGGCACAGGCCTGGCCCACTGGTCTGCGGCATCCCAAGGGCTACAGAGGCCGCAGGTCCAGCGGCGCCTCAGGCAGGGACGGTCTGTCAGCTGAGACGGCAGCAGGCAGGCAGGAATCCTCTGGGGCTGTCGCTGCAGCCTCCCCGGCCTATTCTGATTACAGATCTATCTCTTTTATCCATCCAGCTGCCCCAAGCTGCAGATGAGAAAACAGCTCAGAAAGGCGACAAGATTTTGGAACTCCATTTGTAAAATAGGAACATGATTGTGACCTTTTCCGAAGGGTTGTTATGAGGATTAAATAAGAGCAAGTCGCAAGCCCTTGACAATGTGTATTATGATGACCTTCCTCCCCGCCCCGCGGCTTCACAGAGCTGACTGTGTGCTTCCCCTCAGCCTGACTCGGACACTTCTCAAGGCATTCTGCAAACAATTTCCAAGCCCCAAGAACATTTGTTCCCCTGGCTCCTCTTGGTGAAGATGTCAAGGTGATTTTTTCTTTAGAAAACATTACACATTTCCTAGCTTTCTGTTATTAGCCTTTCTCTGCCCAATATGCTTCTCGGGCTTTTCTCATCAGCGTGGCTCCTGGTGGCAGGAGGCAGCGCTGCTGACTCAAGCAAACAGACCCAACGCAAAGCGAGTGCTCTGCCAGCATTCAGGGACTTATTGTGAGTGAAGACTTTCAGGGAAAACAAAGCTTGGTCTGCAAAGTAACACACGTACCTACACTGGGGAGAAGAGGCATTTCCAAAGTGCTCCTCGTGTACTGGTTAAAAAATTATTTGTTCCCCAGCATAGAAAGTCAAATAAATGATGACCCAGCCACAGAATAAAATACTATGCAGTCACCAGAAAGCATGATGTATGAATGTACGAATCCTGACCCGGAACGATGCTGACAATATGTTTCTAAGTGAGGAAAAGCAAGTTCCAGATCACACAGAGAATCATCCTGATTTTGTGAAACTAATATATTTTAAGCTGGGTACATAAATATTCATGCATTATGTATGTGCCTATATATGTACAAGCATGTATGCATATACACATGCACACCACCCACAGACATACACGCACACACTGGTGTACAAAGAAAACAGGAGAATCAGTGAAAACCGTTGATCCCGGCAGTTTCCTGGGCAGGGCCGAAAGCCGCAAAGGCTGCGCACTCAGCTCATAACATCTATATGGTTTGAATTTAATTAACATATATTGCTCATTTATAAAAGAGACACAAATGAAAATGAGCTGTCTGTCTCCCAAGTGAGGACAATACTGACGCCTGCAAGAGGGGTGGCGCTGGGGCAAAGGCTCTAAGTGCATCATCTCATGGGATCCTCACAATGCCTCTCTCTACAGGTGTAAGGACCCTGTGTGCCAGGTAACAACAGAAAGGCTCAGAGCCAAGGGTTCACCGTCACACCGCTGAGTGTGCAGCAAAATACACCAGTGAACAGGACTCGCATCTCCCAAAATGCAGCCCAGCTGCACTCAGTACACATTTGCTGTGATTTCTGCAAATTCACCTGCTTATCGAACTCGGGCTTCAGAGATTCTTCTGTGAAAATGTGAAACTGCATCTTCCTGTGGCTAAAGAGCACGGCTGACTTTAGCATAACCAGCGTCTCCTCCACCCGATCACCACAGGCCACCACGGCCAGGTGCATCCAGAGCTTGGCTGGCAGCACAGCATGGAAACTCCTGGGCTCTCCAGGTCTCCTAGAAAGAATTAAAAAGTTAAAGCTATTACTAAACTCATTAAAGAAAAGCATCTGGTAAATGGTTGGAACATTTGAAAGCATGAACAGGCACAATGCATTATTACATTTTATAAAGTGATAAGCATTTTGACAACTCTCTTGCTTAGAGAAGAATACCACTTATTCCAATATTTATCCTGGCAGTAGCAGGATGAGTAATGTTCGGGCTGCTATAGGTGTCTGGGACTTTTCTGCCCGCACTCAGCTGCCTAGTGCCTGGTGGTTGCCCACTGGCCGTGTGTGGAAATGGCATTGCTAAACTTGACAGCTGGGACAGGGCTGGAGCTCCCACTCACATGGGCCATGGAAATCAGATTTTAATGCAACTTGAATAAGAGGGTGGGTCATGGCTTTCCCATGTGAAATGAGCAACATGAGATTCCCATCCTCTGGATGGTTTTAGGTTGCAGTGGAGTACATGGCCACTGAACCAAAGGAAAATCATACCAGCCCTGGAGGTGAGCACAGAAACCAACCCATGTGCCTCCATTACGTCTTGGGAAAGTCCTGAAGAAACAGGTGTTGATCTGAACCATCTCACTCAAGATTGCTGAGGTGGTATGTGTGAAATTCGGCTTCCAGTATGAAACTGATATTAGTGAGAAACAGGCAGGAGAGGGGCAGGTTAAGCTGAAAATTACCAAGGTATCAAATGCCAAGTTAACAGCTGAGAGGGGACAGGATCCAAGAGTCCAGAATCCACCTCCTGCTATTTCCTTAAAATAAAAGATTTGTTCCAGACAAGGGGATGCAGCCAAGCCTCGAACACACCACTGAGAACATTTCCAGGCACGCTGGAAGAAGCTGTCCTGGCAAAGGTGGCCTGAGACAAAAGAAACTAATGTACTCGTACAAAAGATTCAGAGACCAGGGAAACTCGGACGTCGCACACCACCTTCCCTCCAGAAACTCTGATGCGATCAGTGCTGCTCCACGAGTCACTGCTGTGGAATAAAGGCAGTTTGCTCAGATTCCTCTCACCAGGAAGAAAGTTAAAGATGTGGGTGGAGCACTTGGACAGCTTCCTAACTGATTACTTAGGAGCAGGCTCAACAGCAGCACAGCCTCCTGGCTCAGCTAAGCCCAGCTGCAGTCAAGTTCCTCAGATTCCTTATTTCAGTGGTCACAGGAAAAGACAGTAGACGGGTCCTAAGTGTCTCCCTAATCATCCGACTCTCTTCACCCTCCTGTTGAAGGCCACCATCTTCCCTCACCTGACAGCTGTGACAGCTCCCCGGTAAGGGAAACGGTATTTTGAGAAAAAAAGAGACTGCATTGACACAACTTTTATTACAGTATATTTTTATAATTGATCTATTTTATTATTGTTGTTACTCTCTCACTGTGCTGAATTTATAAATTAAGCTTTATCATAGGTATCTATGTATTGGAAAAAACAGTATACAGAGTAGTCCCTCTTTATCCATGGTAGATTTTTTCTAAGACCCCCTACTGGCTACCTAAAACCACGAGTAGTACTGAACCCTATAAATAAATACATTTTATTTCTCTTTGGCATATCTGATTGCCAGTATCACTACCCTTGTACTTTGGGGCCATTATTAAGTATAATAAGGACTACTTGAACACAAGCACTTTGATACCCTTACAGTTAATCTGATGACCAAGACGGCTACTAAGTAACTAGTGAGCACATAAGATATGCACTGTGGATACACTGGACAAAAGGATGATTCCTGTTCCAGGTGGGACTGAAAGGGACCACAGGAGACTTCATCACGCTACTCAGAACCGTGCTCAATTTAAAAGTTTTGAATTGTTTATTTTTGGAAATTTCTGTTTAATATTGTCAGGCCACAGCTGACCCTAGGTAACTGAAACCGTGGATAAGGAGGGGACTACTGTAGTGAAAGACAGACCACGGTGCCTGCCTTGCAGAAGCTACATTCTACAGGTGGCAGGAGAAAGACAAGGAAAGAAACAGTAGTCAAAACAAATAGTAACTAAGTGACTTACAAAGACAGTTATTCAGTGGTAAGCACTATGAAGGAAACAGAGCAGGAAAAGATGTAGGAGTGGCTGCTGGACTGGCACACATTACACGGTGCAAAGTCGGAAAAACCGCCACGGAGAAGGCGAGACCTGGAGACAACCTGCAGATGCGGGAGTGAGCCACGTGCGTTTCTGGGTGAGGAGCGTTTCAGGCAGAGGGAACAGTCAGGAAAGGTGCTAAATCAGGAGCATGCCCGGCGAGTTGGAGGATTCCTGTCCTTAGGACTCAGATGTCTGTTCCAGTCCTCAGCCTCATGGCTGGGTTTTCACACCTGCTGTTAAAGTGAACTCCCAGTTAATGAATATAAAGGGATGGGAAGAGATAATGCTAAAATCACAGTCCACAACTACCAAAATATGCTACAAAAGAGATTTAATACAAACTCATTTACTTAAAAATACGTTCAATATTTAGGAACATATACATCATCCAAAGATACTAAAACAATAAATGCAATAGCTTAGAAATCTTAAATATGAACCATTACTCCACCCCAGAACAGAACAACTCTGTCTAATTTAGCCTCACACACTGGGCTTCTACATGAATAAGACATTTAACCTGGGTAATCTGGGAAATACAAATCAAACAATAAAGAGATTCCATTTTATCTTCAGATTGACAAAATATCTTAAATAAAATAAAAGCTGGGACATATAAACTTTGAGTGCATGGGGCGGAGGGCAGCTCACACACGGCTGGGGCACTATAAACTGGCCCAACACCCTGGAGAGCCACTTGGCAGCATCTGGCAGGAATGAAGATGTGCGTGCACCATCCGGCCCTCCAGCTCCACATGACGAACCCCTGCACACTTGTACAAGGCTCCTGCAAGAATGCTGACAGCAACCCTGTTTGCCATAGTGAAAAACTGGGGGGAGGGAAGCTGGCGGGGCTGTGAGAAGCAGCAGAGGCCCCCGCTCCCAGCCACAGACTCGATTTACTCCTAAAATCCTACAGAGCCAGCTTGGAAACCCAGAGAAACATACCTGAGTGGACGGAGTGCGAGTGGGGAGCACTGGAGAGACATCATGGAGTCCGTAAGGAAGGGGGAGTCCCCCCTGAAGCCTGTGCTGGGCTCCGAGCCTGGAGGCTTGGAGGCTGCGAAGCTCCCTTCCCTCGGGGGTGCGGACCCGCATCCAAAAGTGGGGATCCCACACCTGAGCGCAGGAGAGGGGAAGGAGCGCCCCCCGGAGGGCAGAGGGACCCAGGGGAGCGGTGAGTCCTCGAGGAGGGGACGGCGCCTTCCTAGTAAAACAAAGCTTCTAGTGGCGGCTGCAACCGGCATCTAGTGCTCGGGGTGCCAACCACAGGAAGGGCTGTCCCAAGGTCTGTGGCACCCGAGTGGTAAGGGACCAGAGGACTGCGCTGAGCAGCTGCACACGGGGACCCTCTGCCTCCCTGTGGGGCAGTGTTGAGCCCCAGAAAGCGCTGAATCTGCATAGTGTGGGGGAGGGGAGGAGCCCTCCCGCCCTGAGCTCCCGGTGCCCAGAGGCTGGGATCTGTGACCAGCCCTGAGGGGCTTTTGGTGGCCTGGGAAGCTGCCCCAGCTTTGCTGAGACCAGCGGTGTGGGGAGCTGCGTGGAGCTGACTTTGGGTCCCTCCCGCTGGGCACTTTGGCGTGNCAGCTTTGCTGAGACCAGCGGTGTGGGGAGCTGCGTGGAGCTGACTTTGGGTCCCTCCCGCTGGGCGCTTTGGCGTGTGGGCGGCAGGACCTTGCAGGCCGGACTCTCTGCCTGTGTGTTGCTCTGTGCGTTTGCCAGTTTGTGCGGAACTGGCTCCCACCTTCCCCGCGTGCACTGGGGGACAGACCAGCGGAGGCTGGGGTTGGGGTCTGCACAGTCCGCGGTCTGAGGGGCGGGCCTGGAGCGACCAGCCAACCAGAGCTGAGCAGGGAGGGGCGGAGCCCGCCGGCCTCTCCCACAACCGGGAGCCCCGCCCCCAACAGGAAAGGGGCGGGTCCCGCTCACCAGGCCCCAGACACCCCGCAGGGCACAGTCCTGAGGGGGAAGGACAGCAGCTCAAAGGAGGACTTTACAGGAATAAGACTCTCAGGGACTGTCCTTTGGGAGCTGGAGGAAACGCTGAAACCCCTCCTGGGGGCTGGGCAGGCAAAGGGCTCACTGGAATGTTCTTTAATTGAACCCACGGAGCCCAGGCTGCTGAAACGGCCCAGACAGAAAAGGCGACAGGCTGAAATCAATCTGAAGCTGCAGCAGACAGAGCCTGGGGAACTAGAACCAGAGGACAGGGTAGGGACTGAGGAGCTGGCGGTGGAGCAGAGTCTAACGCCCGCACAGTGAGCGCCTGACAGTGACACCTCAAGGGGAGTGACACCCTGAGCTACACTAGCCACCCTGCACCCTGAAGACTCTACAGGAGACTCTGGAGCAAGACCAGGTAACCACAAGGCTGCAAAATAGCTGACAAGGGGCGGTGGCCCACGGAGAGCCTCAGATCAGCCATCTACCTAAGGACACCAGAGCCAAACCTGGACGCCCCTCACATTGGGTGATACACAAGCACCTCCCAGGAGAACGGAAATCAGCCCACAAAACAGTGATCCTCAGACAACAAGCTGCCCAGAAGAAACCCACCTGGTTGACTGTCTTTTTTCTTGTTTTTTTGTTTGGTTTGGTTTTGGTTTTTTTGGTTTTTGGGGTTTTTTTGGTTTTTGTTTGTGGGTTTGTTTATTTTTTCTTTTTTTTCCTTAGGAAGAAACGGGGAGAAAATTTGTTTTTTCTTCTTTTTTAAATTTTATAATAAATTTTTTTTTAACTAAATTTTTTTTTCTATATTTTATAAAAGAATTTTGTCTTGAGTAGCTTGTTTTTAGTTTTGTTTTGGTTATTTGCTTTGTTTTGTTTTATCCTTGCTTCTTCTATCAGGACTTTCTTGATATCCCTGCTTAACGACTGGGACTTTATCATTATAACCAAGTTTACTGCTTTCCTCTATAGTTTCCCCCAAATCTCTCACCGTATTCCCTCCCTGCCTGGGCTTCATCTCTCTCTCTCCTCTCGATCCGTTGGCATAACTTTCTTTTTCTTTTTTTCTTCTTCTTTTCTTTCGTTCTTCTGTTTTCCTCCCTTTTCCTGTCTTTTTGTTCGATTCTTAGTTTCTCTTCTTCTCTTTATTGTATTTGTGTTTTCTCATTTTCAACTATTACCCTATTCCTAGTCTCTCCCTTAATTTTTGCTGGCCCTTCTTTCAGAATCTTTTCTCTGCTTCTGTTATCTCCCAGTAGCTTCTCTATTTTTCACATTTTAGTTTATTATTATTCTCTAAATATTCACCAGTATAAACAACAATATACATATCTCTCTCTAAGCGTTACTTTTCTTTCTCTCTTTCTTAAGCATTTTGTGTGTGTGTGTGTGTGTGTCTGTGTGTGTGCGTTCTCCCTTCACTCTCCCAGTTCTAATTTCACATGGGTTGTTTTCATTGTGACTGTCAAGATATTTTGTAAGATACCTCTTGTTTCCTGGAAGTTTAGTTGTATATTGTCCTGCCTTGCCAACACCCATACAACAGCTTACGCGACGAGGTTGGGGCTGAGACACAGTTAGCCAACCAAAGAGGAGGGTCCTCCCAAGGACTGATCAACAACAATCTAGACCCAACCACAAGAGGAAAACCCGAAGAACCCACAAAAGGGACACTCATGAGAGGCACACGCCTAGAGCAAAGAGATCAGAAGTATAAGGAAAACACACTGCTGGGCTTCATGGACCCATAAGACAAAATCCCTCCTGACAAGACTGAGAAACAGCAAATATATCTAATATATAGATACAGACACTAAGACCTACCATAATGGGGAGACAAAGAAACAACCCCCCAAATCAAAGAAAAGGAAACATCGCCAGAAAAAGACTTTCATGAGATGGAGTTAAGGAAGTCATCAAAAACAGAGTTCAGAGTATTGATGATGAAGTAGTTCAAGAAACTTAAATAGATGCTAGATGATAAGATCAAGGACCTTAGTGAAAACATGAAAAAAGAGATACATACCATAAACAAAACTCAGACGGAGATAAAGAATGCTGTTTCTGATATCAAGAATGCACTGGAAGGAATTAAAAGCAGGCTCAATGAAGCAGAGGATAGAATAAGTGACTTAGAAGACAAGGTAGAAAAAACTCAATCAGAGCAGCAAAAAGAAAATACGCTTAAAAAGCATGAGGACAGTCTAAGGGAGCTTTGGGACAACATAAAGTTGAACAACATTCGCATTATAGGAGTGCCAGAGGGGGAGGAAAGAGAGCAAGGGATAGAGAACTTGGTGGAGGAAATAATGATAAGAAACTTCCATAGGCTGGCGAAGGAGAAAGCCACACAAGTTCAGGAAGCAGAGAGGGTTCCAAACAATAGGGGCCCAAAGAGACCCACTCCAAGACACATCATAATTAAAATGGCAAATGTCAAGGACAAAGAGAAAATATTAAGGGCTGCAAGAGAGAGACAAGCAGTGACCTACAAGGGAACCCCCATAAGGCTGACAGCTGATTTCTCAACAGAGACTCATCAGGCCAGAAGGGAGTGGCATGAAGTTCTGCAAGTAATGAAAAGCAAGAACATGCAACCAAGATTGCTTTATCCAGCAAGGCTATCATTGAAAATTGAAAGTGAAATAAAAAGCTTCCCAGACAAAAAAAGGCTAAAGGAATTCAGTACCACCAAACCAGCATTGCAAGAAATGCTAAAAGGACTGCTCTAAGAAAAAGAAGGAATAGTGAGAAAAAGGTACATCAGCATAAAGGGGGAAAATGGCATTAAATAAGTTTATATCAATAGTAACCTTAAATGTAAACGGAATAAATGCTCCAATCAAAAGACATAGGGAAGCTGAATGGATAAGAAAACAGGACCCGAATATATGCTGTCTACAAGAGACCTACCTGACAGCAAAAGACTCACACAGGCTAAAAGTGAAGGGATGGAGTAAAATATTCCATGCAAATGGAAAGGAAAACAAAGCTGAAGCAGCAATTCTTATTTCTGACAAAACAGACTTCAAAATAAAGACCATAACAAGAGACAAAGATGGTCACTACATATTATAAAGGGATCAATCCAACAGGAGGAAATAACCCTTACAAATATTTACGCACCCGATATAGGAGCACCTAAATACATAAAAAATTTCTTGGGGGACTTTAAAGGGGAGATTGACAGCAACACAATCATAGTGGGGGACTTTAACACGCAACTGCCAGCACTGCACAGATCATCAAGACAAAAAAAATCAACAGGGAAACGCAGACCTTAAATGAATCACTAGACCTAATGGATTTAACTGACACTTACAGAACATTTCACTCCAAAGCAGCAGAATACACATTCTTCTCAAGTGCACATGGAACATTCTGAAAAATAGACCACAAGTTAGGGCAAAGGCAAGTCTCTACAAATACAAGAAGATTGAAATCATATCAAGCATCTTCTCAGATCACAATGCCATGAAACTAGAAATCAACCACTATAAAAAACCTCAAAAATGTTCAAACACATGGAGGATAAATAGCTTGTTATTAAACAATGAACGAGTTACCAATAAGATCCAGGAAGAAATCAAACACTTCATGGAAAGTAACAAAAATGAACA